TATCCGCAATCTTTTATATTGTTTTTATTTTCTATTTTGGACTTAATATAAATTTGAGTTTTCTGTAAGTCAAAATATGTAAATTGATATTGTAATATGTTTGGGCTAAGTATGTAAAATAAAATAAAAATAATATTACAAAATTCCATTAAAAATTAAAAAATTGCATACTTTCAGGGTGATGGTACTCAATATCTTTCACCAATATCGTTTTCGTTTCCCAATCATTTCTGATGCCTGCGTTTAAAGTGCATTTAATTTGCATTTAAAAGTGCAATTTAATTATGAAAATCTGACTATTGTTTTTATAATTAATAAAAAAATTTTTTAGAAAACGCTAATTACTTGCAGAATAAAATAGATTGACTAATAAGGAAATATTTTCATTAATTGTAGCTAACAAATTTTGTCACACATAATGTAATTAATTAGTTGTTGTAGCCAAACCGATCTTTAGAAATATATTTTAATAAAATAAATTTACTGCTCTAGCTTCAACAAATATATTTATTAATTTTAGATGTGATATATGCGGTTATCATGTGTAATATGCTCTCAATTTGGTGTCAAGGTCTTTAATTAATGACAAACACCTTTTTGAGGCAATATCCAATTTATGAGTTTAACTGATTCAAAATCTTTACACTTAATCATCAAATTCCTCCTACCAAAACAAAAAAAAATATTTAATACCATACAATTTAATTTCTTTATTAAATTTTTTAATAAATTTATAAAATAACCAATCTCTTAAAACATAAATTTTCATTTTAAATCTTAATACTGCATACTTTATGCCAACAATGATAATCGCATTAAATTTTAATATTAAATTACACTCATATAAAATTTCCTTTCATTTTTAAATAAATAAATTTCAGGCATTTAAAAAACAAAAAATGAAAAAAAATCTTATTATTTGTTAGAATATATACATACACATATGTATTTCAAGTGTTTATATGGGGAAAAAGGGAGAAAATTTTTATAACTTTTACATATACTTCACTAGTTAAGAGATTTGTCCATGGAAATTTTTTTTTTTTTGCAATTGAATTGTGGTATAATTTATTTAGTGAAAAAATATTATGTTACATACATATATGTATATATGAATATATAATGTAAATTAAGTGCAATATGTTACTTAATTACAACACGAAGAAATTCTTATTTAATTTATAAGTACTTGTATGATGTACAGAGAATATAAAAAGTAATATATAGGTATATTGAAGTACTTCAATCATTCCAAGTATATTTTAGAACTAAGTAACCAAAAAAATATTTAGGTCACAATTTACATATACATATGTGTATGTGCAAATATATTGCTAAATACACCATGTACACATTTATGTTTTTATACCCGTACGAACGTATGTTCGAAGGGTATACTAAATTTGCCCTACCGTTTGTAACGCTAAGAAGTAATGGTCTTAGATATAGACTCAAATGTATAGTCTTAGATATAGACGCGTCGAATTCTGAGTTGATTTAGCTTTGTCTATCCGTCTGTCCGTCTGTCCGTCCCAGCGATAAACTCAAAAACTAATTGAGCTTAGTTCACCAAATTTTCACAAATGATTTATTGTAGTAAGTGCCAGAACCCTATTTAAATTGGACATGATCGGGGTACCGGTTCGGGTAGCTCCCAAACAACTTCAAAATTTATTTGGCTATATCTCAGAAACTATAAAAGCTATGGTATTGAAATTTCACATAATGTGTTTGATAAAAGTTGTTAAAATTTTTTGGCGCTTTCTGGTAGCTGCCATACAACTTCAATAGTAGTTTGGCACACACAGTATTTTGAAAAACGCAGTTCTGAAATTTTGCAGAAATTAATATGGTAATACGGTAACTTAAACTCATAGTCTGTCCAATAATCAGTTATGGTATATTTATTCGTACATAGGATAACAAATTCGTACGAGTATCACAAAATTGACAAGGTAAACTCTATTTTTTCTCGTTTTTTATTAAAAACAAAATATTTTCTTTCGCGGTCGTTTAATTAAGGTGACATTGGATTTTAACGTATAATTTAATATATGAGTAACTAAATAAGAGTAAAAATGTTTTATTTTGTTTAGAATTAAAAATGCAGTAATCAAAATTTGTGTATTTTTTGCAACTTAATTTCTACCTTGATTCTAGTATACACACAATTATAAATATTTGCCGTTTAAATTAAATTACAATTAAATAAGATAGTGGGAAGGTTTCAATTTGCTTTAAAAAGTTTTTAATAAATAATATAACATTATTTTTTAAAGTAAAATGATTTACGAATTCTTATTACATGAAGAAGTTGTTAAGAAGTGTATACTTCGTCTACAGTTAAATCGAAAGAAAGTAAAGCGAGATTTTCTAGAGAAATTCAATGACTTGATAAAACGAACAAATAAAGAATACGTTCCCTGGTATTTTTCGTGTTTATGGACAACATATCACACTTTTTCGAGTAAAATCTCCAGTCCTAGTTCCGTTTTCATAAATACGAAATTTAAAATGCCCTAATGCCTTAATGCTTTGACTTAATAATATTTTTTTTTTCTTCAATTTCAATGATCAATTCAATATTTAAAGTATTTATATAATTTTTTTATATTTTCTTTATTTTTTATTTTTACTTATTAAACAGATCTCAGATTAAATTAGATGATATGATTGGCAGTTGTCAACCTTAGATCAGGTCACTAAAACGTCATAGATTTATTGTAACATTCAATAATTTCTAAAGCGGCAGCTAAGTCTAAAATCCTCATGTAATTACAGATTGATCCAAGCACAATTATCCCACACAGGACGGCCCTACGTATCTCACCGAGTGAACCAATAGCCTCCTGGCTCATTCTCCAAGCAGAGAATATGCTCAGACGTCTCGTTTTCAATAGATATTAGTTTTTATGTTAAATTAATTTAATGATTTTTTGTTTTTGTTTTATTTTCAAGGTTTATTTTGTTGATCCTTAGTGTCTGTTGTTGAAAAATGTATAACAAATTTGTTGTAGCGTTTTCAATAAGAACTGATAAACAGTTAATAACTCGATTGTCTTTGGAATTCAAATGTAAAATTAAATCATGTAAAATTCTATTTCATTTAAGGGCTTAGAAATCTTTTCTTATATTATACTTCGTGACAATAATTTGTATTGAATTTCAAAATCGAAAAATGAATATTCAATCTGATAAAAAAATCTGTTTTAGTGATTACAATATACCATAATCCGAATTCTCTTTATGTTTTCCTTTTTAATAATAATTATACAGAAATTTTATTTATGCATCTACAGTATTATTATATTACACTTGACTTGTTTGCATTGGGTAAGATTTAGGAAAAAGAAACTTATATTTGTGTTCTGACGCTTTATCTATATTGTTTATAAATATAATAATATTTATGCGTTTGTATACACTCTGACATATATACATTAATATAGAAAGAATAAAAATGTGCCTAAATATGTAAGCACATACACACATATGTAAATACTTGTATATATTAAAAAATAATGCTCTTAAAATAAATAATTTAATGTTATCCTTTCATAATTGAAATCCTAAGGAAAAATGCGGGTTCATTTTTATCATTATTTTTCTTTCCTTTTTTGTTTTCATTTTTTTTTTCTTGTATATATTTTCATTTTATTTATTTATTTATTCGTTTTGTTATTATTGTTCATTTGTTAAAGTAGCAAAATTGCAAAAAAAAAAAAAAAATGGAAAAGAAGGATAACAGCACGTGTTAAAAATTATAGAAAGAATGAGAAAATCAGAGGGAACCCCGAATAAATGTAAAGGAAAAAAAATAAAATCCTTTTTTCAATAATTTTCAATTTATTCTGGCTGAAAATTGTAATGAATAAAGATTTTGTTTTCCAACCGAATTGCATACCATAACGGAGGTTATGTGATGGCATCAAATTTTGGATGTCGACTTTTCGACGGGAACGCACTTCTCCATAGTAGGAAAGAGTAAATAAACTTTTTTCATTATTTCAATTCGGGCTGTTAAAAGAATAGTCCTATAATTATTTTGGAAAGATGAGAGCTCCGAATTCGAATTAGAAACCGATTTTGCATTTTTACCATATTTGCGGAACTAATTAATGGAATTGCTTTAAATTCCAGTTTTGGTTATTACCGAAACGCACTGGCAAACTTTTTAAGAAATTCGGGTGGCACAAAGCTAAACTCTACTACGAGCCAAATTTATATTTATTAACTAAAACCTTACTAACTTCCTTAATATTGGAAAAAAGCATTTATTGTAGTATATTAAATAAGTATGCATTTTAAAAATTTCACTTTTGCTAAACGAGAAAACACACCTTGCATTCGGTCATGTGTTGTAACATCAGATTTTTTTCTTGTTTCGCTTTACGATATCATATATTGAATTAATTTAGATGCATGAGAATTAAATTAGAATATCAAAAAAGCTGTATACATAATAATTATAATAATAATATTATGATTATAATTATTTATTGAAAATAATGGCAGAAAAATATATTACACATGAAATTTGAACAAAAACATTTTTTTTAGAATTAATTCAAACCTCAAAAATATTTGAATAATTTTTAAATTATAATATCAATTTTACATTGAAAGAAGCAAGAAAACAAAATGCAATTAAAATTAAATTAATTTTTACTCCCCTATTGTTTAATGAATTGAAATTATTTAATGGTTCTTTCATATTCTCGATTGATTTAGATATAAGAGAATCGAAAAATATAAGATAATTTACTACACTTATAGCAAAATTATATTGTAATTAGCAACAATAACTTTAGAAATTTTAACAAAATAAAAATCATTGTAGATATTTTCAATTTTAGTGTAAAGATTCTGGAACTATTAAACTAGATCTCAAATTTTTCGTATTTGAATTAAAAATATAATCAACTGCACTCTGATGATGCGCACGTAATCACGTTTTTATGCTTAATTTAATGTACTCCGGCATCTCAATTTATACATTATATACGATATTATATACGACATTAATTTAAAAAAAATAAAATTATAAAGTTAAACTTACATTATGCACTTCTTTATTATAAATATGTGAGTTTTCGAAACATACCTGTAAAGAAAAAAAAGGAAAATTTAATAAATTTGTATATAAGCCTTTGAAAATATTTAATTATTTGATGTTTCTAAATCTGGGATAAAAAAATTACAGATTCCGAATATTGAGGTATATGTTTGAGTGACATTGCTAAAAATTTTGTTGGGTAGTCGGCTCAACAGTAATATAATTTCCGGTATATCCATAAACCCCTTGTCGGGTTTAGCAATTTTTTAAAGACCCCTTGCTACTTTCTTTGATAGATTTAAATTTTTAACAGAAACAAGAAACACCTATGACGTGAGAAAGTTAAATAAAAAACTTATTTAATTAAATTCACACTTTTTCGTAGATCCCTAGCAGATCTTCATGGACGCCTGCGTGTGTATATACACCACTTCAAGACTCACTGCATAAAAGTAAATATCTATAGAATTTGTCAATTATATATTAAGGTTTACGTTAGTTATACGTTAGTTATTTTAAAAATTTGCAATACAATTCAAATTGCAATTAATAAGCAACTTTAGAAATTATAGGCACACTTAAAATTATACATAACTTTTTAAAAAATCATTGAGAATATTTTGTTCCAATTATAACGTTTACTTACTACTTAGACTATACACTAGATATTCATCTATAGATATATGAATATAATTATCTATATTTATTCAAAAATCCCATTTATAACTACATAAACTAAAAACCTATACCTTAATAACAGAAATTCTATAAAATGGTGATTAAAAAGCATTTTATGGCATTTTGACTTCACTTCATATTTAGTATACAGGTGCTAAAATTGAGAGTAATAATGATTGATGGCATACCAGTAATATAATGATTGTTATTAAACGTACATATAACACCAAGTATACATGGTGTCAATAAAATTTCCATTCTCTATGTTTCCTATACTATATGTATATAAATGTAAGAGCATTAATTTTATTATGTTGACGTTTTTTATGCGTAGCGATAGTTAAACTTTAATTGATTAATTAAAAGTTTAAATATTTTATAATCGTTAAACTTATTTAAAAATCGTTTTTATAATGATATTTTACAAAATATAATAATGTTAAAGATGACAGTAAAAATTAAAGAGAACTCATTAATTCTTTATGATAGTAAAGAATTTTCAACTTAAAAAGGTTGGCTGTTTTTGTTAAAATGTTTTTTTTAAAGCTTATTACTGAAAATTATTTCAGAGTTTATAACGAAATTTTATAGAATAAAATATAGCGATTATTTTTTAAGACGTGAAAATATCCTTTGGTCAGAATCGCACCAAAATTACCAAATGTGTTTAATACGTGCTGATATCAGTCGGAAAATGAATAAATTTTTGAAAAAGTAAAATTTATTATTAATAATACAATAGCGGGTAGCTCATCATATAATAAGAATATAGAGAAATTGCAATTACTTTACAGAAACACAATGTAAGTAGGCTTTTAAAGAATTGTGTATTTACTAAATAAAGTGAAAATCAAAATAGTGGTTTTAAAAAAAATTTAATACATTATTAAAATTACATACTTTCATTCATATACCAAAAAATTTCACAAATTACATACATTTAGGATGAGAATTCAAGAATTAATTGCGTGAATTAAGAAAAATAATTATATTTTTTGACGGTATAGCATTTCTTACCTTTTCATTAGCCTTCTGCATTTATAGAAATTCATTTAATTCAATGGTGTAGAAGTTTTTAAATGGGTCCACTAACGGACGGACGATAGACAGAGTGGAACTAATAAGTACTTCTTCCCAAATTTTTTTTGGAAAAATTTTAAAAATAGCTTCAACAAATTTATAGAGTGCTATAGGACTTTTTTCTTGAAATTGTTAAACTTATTCAAGATGAGTGACTCTTTTTGATTGAATTCTTCGTGAATTCTTCTTCTTTATTTTTGATATCATAATCTTGAACTAATTTAGTACATATTACTTAAAGGCATTAAATTGTTAATTGTATTTTATTATTATTTTTTTTACAATGGTATTAAATATGTACCCAATTAGCCAAATGTACCCAAATTTGCAAAGCAGAATTGTCATAAGATCAATTACATACATTAGTATTCCGTATAGTAAATAAAATAATCAACTACAATTTTTTTTTTGAGCATCTGAACAATAATTTCGTGATTATTACGTGAAAGGACAAAAAACAAATTATCGTACATACTATTGCCAATTTTTCAGTAATAATGAAAATTTTATTAGTAGTCCAATTAATTACTTTGCACTATGCTAAAAATTTTGGACGGATTAAATAGAAAATGGTTTTATATGATGTTCAAACTTTAATCTTTTCGTTATTTTAAGAACTATAATTAATTGTTATTCACAATTATTATTGTAATTAAAAATTTTAATTAAGAGCTGGATAACAAACAACATTTTATTATGACTGCACATAGAATTATGTATTCATGTATTCAAAATTAATTCGTTTATTTATTGTGTAGATTGCAAATGGGTTCTGTTTCCCGGTGAGGACAAAAACAGGCTCATTTCTATTTCTCGTAATTTACGCGTTTGAACTAATCAGCAAGGATCAAACGAATTTAAATTGATAATTAAAATAGTATTTAAATTTTCATTTGTTTTAAGTATAATACACCTGCATTGTATATTTTAATATGTCATTAAAATTCATTAACGAACTTACATAAATAAATATTAATTTTTATATTATTAAAAAATTATCAAAATCATTATAACCATAGTGCCAATACAATATTCATCATTGCATTATTACTCGTAAGGCGTATATTTTTCAACCATATACCAATATCATATTCGATGTTAGTCAGGATACAAACACAATGAGCGAAATTTGCATTACAAAACAAAAATCTAAAATTATAACAAAAAAGAACAATAATAAAAACAAAAAAATTTTTTTTATATTTTTTTTTACTTTCTTCGTTTGAGAGCTCAAGATTTTTTCCTCATTTTTATTTTTGTTGTTTTTAATTTATTTATTGCTGTTTTTATTATTTCCAATTCTCTTGAAGAGTGATTCTCTCCTTGTTGTTAAGTTGCTGTTTTTTTATTTTTTGATTTTATTATTTTGTTTTTTTTTTTTTAGTTTACTTTAAATCATCAATTGAATATTCACAAAGAGATGGAATAATAATAATGTGTAATATTGGTGGTATGTTTGTGCTGTGTATGGTGTGTTATATTGTAAGTTTGCGGTGTTTTGTAATATTTTTTTATAGCTGTGAGAATGAGTGTGTGTATTTGAAAAATATTTATTGAAAAAGTACAGCAAATTTTGAATATTTCTCAATTCGATTTGTTTATTTTGTTGATTTTTTCTTTACTTTTTATATTTGAAAAAGGTGAATTTAGTTTTTTATTGAAATTTTCACTCTTTGAAATTGAAACAGTTTATTGGAATTTCGTGGTACTAGATTTATTATTTAATACAATAATAAATAATGAGGATAAATAATATTATAATATTATTGTATGGAAATCGGGAGTGTTAAAAATAAAGGATTTGTATTGTAAATTTATAGGTATTCGAAATTTAGTTTAAAAGGTATTTTTATTGATAACAAATTATATTAAATTTAAATTTTATATAAACAAGTAAGTGCATATAAAATGTAATGTTGCTGATTTGAAACTTTATTTGATTTAATATTTTATTGCAGTATAATCAATAAGCATTTATATAGTGTGTTTAAGTTTCAAATATAATTGAATGTTTAACCGAATATAACGCAGAGACTGTATTGTTATATAGATCGAATCAATAATATTGCCTGCAGCACAGGATCAGAACAATGTTGTATTTGAAACTAAGAATGAATAGATACTGCAAAATATTATAATTTAATACACAATACCAAACAGTTCAAAATGATAAAACAAATAGAACACCGATTAAATGTATTGTCAAAGATAATTTTTTGAGTTAAGCGGTATGTTTAATTAGAAGTTAAAATACAAGGTTTTTAATGTTTGAACGTTGTTGTAAAATTTGTGAGAATAAAATAACATAGGAATTACATTTCATTTGTTTTTTAAAATATTCCCTCATCTACCAAAAGCAGTTCCTTTGAAGTATTTTAATAGTGATATCAATGCCATTGTGTAAAATATATGTACCAGATTTTCTTCTGGAACTTTTGGAAATATATGTTTACCAAAACAAGAACTAGTATGGTCGGTGGTCCCTGGTATGCGCGCAATCGTTATTTTCATATGGTTTTGGATTTCCCCCAAGTAAGTGACGAAGTAAAGAACTGGGTTAAGAAACATAGGGCGCGTTTGAAACAGCATGTGAACGTCGAGGTGTCTTGACTTATAAGGAAAAGGGTTTGGACAAAAAGACTGATGCGAACGATACCCATCAATTTAAAATAAATTGCTCTGACAGTACTTCCGTGCTTTCCTTCACGGAATGTAGACACAAAAACACGATAGAGTAAAACTAGTGATTGGTCAGTTTGACTAGTTTAAAGAGTTTATGATCATCCAGGTGCGTTTCAGGCTGGGTAAAATTTCCTCCACTATTAATACGTCTGTCGACAGTTAAGGACCGCCTATCCATGTTTATCACAGACAATTATATTATGTCCTAATCTTACATGAATTTTATGATTACTTTATATTTTTTGAACTTAGTTGATAATTATAAGTGAAATTAAAGTATTAACTTCGAAAAAAATACCTGTTTACCCAAAAATTATTAATAAAAGTTGCTTAAGACCTAAATCAAAGTTCTGATATTTTTCTGTTGAATAATATTATATTTTGTTATCTGATTAAAGTGACCAACACGTGCAGAATCAACACAAAAAAAAAATATAATTCATGTCTTTACTCTTATCTTTTTTATAGAAAAAAGTAACTTTTAGAATATTTTATAGATTGCAGATTTGTACAACCGGGATAACAGTACACCGCGACCATATATAAGGATCTATTGCGCTCTCCCTTTCTCGCTCTGAATATAACCTTTACAATATTGTAAAACATCA